AGGAGGTGAGCGAGTATTAGGTTACTCTCTAGGCGGGAACAGGGGCATGCTGGGAAGAAGGGTTTATTCTTGGTGGGAGCAACCATCTTGGCCTGACGTCACACAGGGGAGGGGGCAAGGCAAGACAGGAAGAGGGCAGCTGCTATCCATAATAGCTGCTGAGATGGTGGGAGACCTATCACTGTTCACCCCAGATTCCTTGGCCCCTTCCATACCTGTATAAGCCTAATTCCTTTCCCAGTTAGTTGTTAATCTCTCTCTCCTGGTGTTAGCCCATCCACTCAGGGATGAAATCGCTTCAGCTAGCTGCTGTTATTTCTTTCTCACAATGTCAGCTCATCCACACACGGATGTGATAAACTTAGCTTTTCCCAGCTAGATGCTAGAATCTCCTAATTTTAGTCCCTGATTTTAATCCCGGTTCACTGGAATAAACTTTTCTTTCAAAGCCTGTTTTTTGACAAGTGAATTCTTTATAACAGTTTAGTACTGTATTTGTCAGTTTGCATCACTAGAACAAGATATCTTAACCAGCTTAACTTTATTTTACACACACACACACACACACACACACACACACACATGTATTTAGCTCCATTCTGGAGGTTCAAAGCCCAAGACTGGGCTGCCCCGACGGTTTGGCCTCTGCTAAAGGCCTAATGGTGAATATTGGATCACAACAGGAGCCACAAGGGATCTAAAGAAGGGCCCTGATTCTAGTTGTAAAAGATCCCTGGACCGAAATCTGAGAACTTATTAGAAATTCATGGTCTCTGGCTCCACCTTACATCTACAGAATCTGAAATCTTGCCATCTGTGATTCAACAATTCCTTTTCGTGATCTTGTTACCTCTTTGTTTTTGTTTTTTTGGTACTGGGGATTGAACTCAGGACCTTGTGGTTGCAAAGCAAATGGTAGCACCACTGAGCTAAATCCCCGGCCGAAAATTTGAGACTCCGCTCTTGATAATTAAGCATCACCTATTGCTTTAGGGAAATATTTCTCCTTTCTCCAGTTTATCAACAGCTATAGGGACTCCTTAAGGTACGACTACTGAATTCCCGGCCTACTTCAGGTTTTCATTTTATTTTAAGGACAGTTGTTGCCTGACAATGCAGACCTAATTTTTAAAAAAGTTTTATTGGTACATTTTAGGTATACAATACAACAACATTTGTCATTGGAAATTTGCACCTTTACATAATCTCTCTCAGTTCATATTTTTCCCCTTCCCCCTGCCCTCCCTTTAACCTCTCCATCCCTCCCTATTTACAAAGACTTTGTTTCTGAAGGACCCTAGTTAGCAAGACAGACTCCATATTGCTGCTTGACCCACCTGCCTGCCCTTTAGATGAACTCAGAAGGAGGAAGCTTAAAAACCTCCTCCCCTTAGAAAGTCTCTTTAGAAATAACAGTTAATCAACTATTGTTTTACAAATGTTCTAACAGCAGGACATTCGCTTCTGTACCTTTTGCTTGCTTTACTAGTTCTATCCCATAAGGGGGCCTAGGAACTGTTGGCCTCAAAGGTGTATAAAACATGTTCGTCAACCCCCAGTTGAGGCTCGGGTCTGATCCTCGGCTCGGGTCCGGCCGGTAATAAACTCCTGTGTGGATTTAATATTGGTCTCTGGTTGGTTCTCTCTCGCTGGGTGTAACAGTTTCCATCTTTTCATTTTCTCATATTAATTCCATTCCCTTCTTTCCTTTCCCCTACCCCTCCCAC